GTGGTTTACCATTAATTAGCACTCTAATTATCCCAGGTCCACCTTCAAGGGCAAGCTCCTGTAAGCACAACAGCCTGTTCTGATGTGCAGGAGGCTGAGCAAGCATGGTAGAAGGCCACCATGGATGCACTAAGCTCAGACACTAAGGAAGGAAACGATGATGGCAGCAGGAAAGGGCTACTTGAGGAATACAGTGAGAGCACATCAGTATGCAGGGATGGAGTTTGGAAAACCAAAGCTCGGCAGACTTAAACTATCGGAAAATGCCGATACAGGGAAACATCCAGGCTGCACTGAAGCCATGGCAGCCCACTGTACCAGACAGGATGCCTCCCAAACCACTGAGGGAGCATGCTGAAGTCATTGCAACGCTGCTCTCACCATCTTTGAAAGCCACCACAACCGTGGGAGGCTGCTGACAACTGGAAAAGAGGCACCCTCTGGAAGAGGTGGGATCTGGGGAGCTACAGGCCAGGTAGTCTAGCCAGGTAGCTCCTGTTAACCTTGGGGAGCACATGATCCTGGAAGTCACTTTGATGCACGTGAAGGTGTGTGGGAACATCCAGGGTGGATTTACCAAGGACACACTGTGCCCGACTAACCTGCCTAGCTCTCTGCTGAGAAGACAGCGGACACGGGGTGAGCAACAGACGTTCACCATGTCTGCAGCAAGGCCTTTGACACTGGTGTAAGTGTGCTGTGGAAGGCAAAGCAGTGAGATGTTGACACTGAAGTGGCTGTACTGCAAGACTGAAATCACTGTTACCAGCAGTGGTAGCCCAACTAGCAGCTGTTTACTAGCGCAGGAATCAATACTGGTTTATTCTCAATACAACCTGGACTCTCAGGAATTCCATGGATGACACTCATCTGATCAAAGTGGCTGACAGGCTGGAAGACAGAGCTGCAGAAGGACCTCAAGAAGCTGGAGAAGTGAGCTCCCAGGAACCTCAAAGTTCAAGGAAAGCAAACGCAAAGTCCTGCATCTGGGAGGGAATAGCTACAGGCACCAAGACCGGCTGGGCTGACTGCCTGGAGAACAGCTTTGTAGAGCGAGACCTGGGTCCTGGTGAACAAGCTGAACGTATCAGCAGCATGACCTTGAAGGAAAAGGAGCCGCTGCATTCTGTGCTGGGCTGACTTGCTGGCTATGTTTATGCTACGGGAAGCAGTTCTTCCCCTCTCTTCTCTTAAGACTGCAACTGAAATACTCCACTGTGGACTCTGGGTCACGTTCATTCACATAGCAGAGAAGTCCCAATTCAGGTTGCTCAGTGAATTTAACTGCCTTTCCTGCTATCACTACCAAAGAGAACAGCATGCAACAGGCAATTCTGCTGCAGAAGAAGGGCCTGCTTGACCTCTGAACATCTGCCACGAGCAGCAAGTGCAGGAAACAGGTGTCTAGATGCTGTTCTGGACATATCACTTATCTATTCAGTGCCATGATTCTCCAGTGGCTGAAGAAAGAGAAAAATGTCAATAAAATACATTTACAAAATGCTGAGAAAAAAGAAAAAAACCAAAAACAAACCAAACCACAACTTACCACATCACTAGCACTGGAAAATTCATTGTTAACCAGGCTTTCGAGAGCCATCCATCGGACTGGTCTGTTTTCATTATCTCCCAGGCAATGGTAGTCCATAGGAAATAGGTCTCGAGATAGCGCATTGTCTGTGATCTTAACCTGAAGTGCATCGTCAATGCTAATTCAAAAGAACAGAAGGGTTTAGCAAACTTGGCATCGAAGTTTTACAGAAGATATTTATGCCCAACCTTAAGTTTTCAGACGGGATTTAATTGGGGGTCGCTAATAGCACTATCAACATTTCAAAGGGCTAGCGTTCTTCTAGATCAAGACACACTCCGTGAGTATCAAATATTATCAGAGAACATATTTGTTCTGCGTTAACAGATAAGCACTAGAAAAATCAGCAGTCCTAGATTAAATAATATCAAACATTTACAAGTGCATAAAAAGTAGAGTTAAAGCAAACAACTCCCGTAAATTATTCCCACTCCCTTGGAAATTGCCTTGCGGATCAATTAAATGAATTTTAGCTATAGTACCTCTACAGCAATAATAAACCAAATATTTAAGCAAAGCAAGATCTACTACCTTGTTAAAGCAACTGATTTTATTTGTACCCTAAAAACCTGTCTTTACTCAAGCAATACCATTTGCTCTAGTAAGATATCTATTCCCCTCAACAAAGCACATTCATTCTGGCTGCTGTAAGAAACAGGATACTGGCTAAGGAAAACTTACTTTTAATCAAAAAAAAAAAGAGGCCTCAAAAAAGCACACGGAGTCTACCGATTTTTTCCTCCCCCTCTGGGATGTTAATTCTTGCTCTTTTGAACTTTAAGAAGCATCTAATAAAGTTCAATATTCTCATAAAGATCTGACTTCAGAATATAGATGTTAGCTTTAAGGTCTTTTGATAAATGTACAGAAATACATGTTGGGAAGGTTGTAGCGAAACGAAAAGACAGAAAACATTATTCTGTTAAGTATTTATTTGGATGAGAAAAATTCAATATAAATGCTCCATTTGTGTGTTTCCCACATGACTATTATGCACTTTCTTATTTATCCAATTTCTATGCACTTTCACGTCAGTTCTTTGGCCTCAAAATTTACAGACCAGGAAATTTCCATATCTAATCACTCTTAGAAGTTCAGAGAAATTCCTAGATGACCTGACTATAAACAAATATGAAGGGCAGTTTTCCAGTGACTAGAGAGCTCCGAGCTGTGTGACCTGTATGTCTACTCTAACTGGGCCCAACCGTGCCACGGGCATTTGAGACCAAAAGTATTTCCTCCTTTAATAAACCTGCCAAGACCACTGCAATCCTGGCTCCCTTCCCAAAATTAGGGCACAGGTACATAGGTCTGACACACTTCATATCAGCTCCTCAAAAGTCTTTCGCCCCACAGGAACAGACCTGGGGACAAAGGGGTGGCAGACAAACCAAGCCCTTCAAGGACCCCAGCTACCAGCACCTTCCTTTACACTTCAGGTCAGACGAGCATTTCTTCTTCTGCAGCACGGATCAGTAGGTGCTCCGCTCCTGCCTGCATTTCCCATGGAGAAGTGGTGCCGGGTGCACTACAAATTGATTTTTATTGCCAGCACTCTGGATCACATGTATGGCAACTAAAGTGAAGCTGGACTTTACTCCAGGCAGGCAGGGAGTCAAGCTGCCTGGACTGCCAACCCTTCGCACAGCAAGGGCACAAGGCAATTAATCCAGGGCACAGAAATGAGACGTTGTCATGAGGTAATTTTCCTGGAGCGCTGTATATGATCTTTGTCTCCTCTGGCACCAGTTCTTCCCTCAACTGCTCACCAGAGAGGAAAAGCAATAGGAATTAGGAAAAGATTCTCTAAGGAACTGTATGGAACTGAGCATCCTTACATAGCACAAGAGCCAGGAAAGATTCTGCTGGACTGTCTTGGGGGCACCAGGTTGAAAGCCCAAGGGATGGCTTCAGGGTGGATCTTGCTGCTCCCTCTGCCCCAGCGCATGCTACACTGTCAGCAGCCGGTGACACTACAGCAGGCGAAGAGGTGAAAGAATAGCCTAGGACAAGCAAGGGCACCTCAGTGTCTCCCTGGTGTCCCTCTCAGCCCCTGGGATGCAACACCAGAAATGTTGTTGGTCTTCGTTGGGATGTTTGAAGAACTGGGCCAGACTGCATGCAGAGGATGGAGTAGTTTTGTCGACAGGAGCAGGAGGGACAAAAGTAGCAATAGTGACAGCTGACAACCCCAAGGGCGTAGGCAGAGAAGTCAGTCCAAATTTCAGGAGGACTTACCGTGGTGCAGGGAACATGACCCCTATTTTACTATTACTTGCTGAGCCAGATGTTCATGGCTCTCTAACAGACACCAGTAGCAGGGCCCCAAGGCAGACCATAGCCTAGAAGAGCATGCCGTCGGTGAAAACTGCAAAGACAGAACCTGAACTTCCACTGCAAGGACTATGTGGCAACAATCAAAGCCAAAACCCCACCCAAGAAGGGGTACAACAAGCTGGTTCAAGAACCGTGCCTTAGAGATACTGGAGGCACTGATGCCTTGAGGATGCTAGGAGATACTTCCAAGGCTATACTGGAAAACGTGCTGGAAAAGATAAAAATTCACAGAGGTGGAAAAAGTTGAAAGGGACAGAAGACAAAGAACAGGAACTGAGATAGTAACCCGGTCTCTCCTCCTGCCTGAGCAACTGAGAAACCTGAAGACTCGGGAGCGTGCTCCAGTCTTTGCACTGGCAGAAGATGATGCCCGAGAAAAGCCTTTTAAGTACTGCTAAGGCAAAAAGCTCCTCAGATTACATGGGCTGCATGCCCCAAGGTCATCAAGAAGATATGGGCAGCAATTCTGAGAATTTAACTAGTCTATTATAGATAATATTTTCATAAAACAGACACAAGAAGAATCGGGCAAATGACTAGACCACAAGGCACCTAATTTCCTTCCAAAAATAAACAAAGCTTCATGACTGAAGGAATGCAAGATGTACATCCATCCCAAGAGATACAACGGATGATGTACTGTTTCATAAATCACGTTACTTAGGGTAAAGCAGAGCTGATCGAATCTCAAAATGGCCTCTAATAGCCAATTTCAGGTTAAAGGCTTTATATTCATCAGTAGTAGTTCAGTTGTCTCGGCACTGACAGTTTATACACAGCTCTGGGGTATAACCCAGAGGTTGCATCTTTCTCTTTTTCTTTCCTTACCAGTTCAGTAACAGATTGGTGCGTGCCTATTTCTTTTTTTGGAGTGGTTTTGGAGTGGAGGGCAAAAGAAGTGACTCTCCAACTCAAGAACTTGAATTCAAGGCTTAAAACATGGTCTTGAATTCTGAAAAGTTACTGTGTTACCTGAAATATGATGTTAGTAGCAGGTATCATAAGACTATGCTCACAGACTAACCACCCCTTTTGATATTTTCAGATGTTTAGTTAAGTTTAGGCAGAACCCTGTATTTTTTGTTTCCCCTACTAGTTATTAAAGCAGATGGAGAATTAGCACAGTTGGTGGTCTCCAAGTGATTTGGTTTACAGAAAGCCACCAAATAGCTCAATCTCTACATTTTGAGGGCGTATTCAAGTCAGAAGATGGTCTCAAAGCTACTTTGGCATTCCTACCATTTACAAAGTGCTTTCATATCTATCCATCATTTGACAACTAAGAAATCTACCAACGAACAAAGCCACTAAGCCATTTTTTAATTTAAAAAAAAAAAACAGCTTCATAAAAATTCATCCATCAATAAAGTGCCAAAGATATTCCAAGTTTTTATTAACGCTTAAGGGAAGCTTCAATATTTTTCAAGCCTTTGAAAAAATGATAAATACTTCTGTTAGACAAAACCTAAGGATGAGGATGTTCTGCTTTCTTGAAAACCATGTTTTCTTGTTCACCTTGTTTACAGAAAAACAACTTCACTGACAAGAGTATTCACCCCAGTTTGGAAATAAAACCCCAGACAACGGTGTATTTTGAGGCAGAGATCAGGTCAACTGGCAAAAGCCCATCCTAGCTCTAGCTACTGACCTAACATTATCTGCATGACGACTCTACCCGTTGAGTACTTACACACAGTTTCTAGCAGCCAGGTCTTTGTGAATGACCTCCCGTCGGGCCAAATAACTCATTCCACAGGCGATCTGAATAGCCATATGTACAAGATCCTGCTGGGAAATTGCCTGCAAGAGCACAGAACACCAGTTACTGCAAAACTGCAAGCCCAGTGTCTGCTAGGTCAGTGGTCTTGTTGTGTGCCACCTCCCCTTCCCTTTAGAGGCTGATGTTTTCTAGTAGCTTAGTACAGACCCTACCCGCTGTTGAAAACTCATGAAGATTGTACCTTTTTTTTTATATGTCGGGGCAAACGTTTCCAATTTGCAACGGCTACACTGCTTTTCCTTTGATTAGTGACGAACATAGGCAAAAAAGGGCAATTTTACCCTTTTTATTACATCCATCACTAAACACTCAGATTTTTTAAAGTATGCAAAACATGGTCTCATCTAGGAATATTTTCTCACTTCTCTCAAAATACATGCAACAGGTTCCACTGAAGCACAGTAATGAATGCCAGGGTGCCCACAGCACTAAAAAAAGACAGCCATCACTTCCTCTACTATCTAAAGTTAAATAAATCCAGTTATTTTACTTAATAGCAAATCTACAGCAGCACCTTAAAAGTTTAATATAAGTGCTTTATGCTCACTATAAAATAATTAAGAACCATGGTAATTAAAGGGATAATCTATTACTTACACCAAAAATAAGATCAGTAAATCTGAAATTTCTCCATACACAATTTTCCCCCATGTATTATCACAGAAATCCACAATCATATAGCATTTTTTCTAATTTTTAATTTATTTTAAGACTTATTGCTATACCAGGAACTACGTTAATCAGAGTTTAACCCAGCTTCATGCCCTCTGAACATGTGTTATAAACGCAGCCAAGTACGTTTTTCCTTGTATGAATCAAGACAAACACTTGCTAGGGAACCTGCTTGCCAATTCTCCCACTGTCACAACACAACAGATGAAGGCCACAACTATTTATTTTAAGGTGCATACACAGATGACAAACCAAGTTTATGTTTAATGTGCAAGAAGTCACAGATTTCTGAGTGTACCTGAGGATTATTGGCCTCTACCAGCTTGCACTGTCGCAAGAAGAGTTTAAGGTTCCCCCAGTTCATGTATGGCAGCAGCACCATTGGTTTCTCTCCTTCTTCTATACAGACATGAGTGATAGGCAGCAGATTCCTGGAAGATGGGGAGAGAAAACCCTAATTTTATGAAACTGAAATTTGATAAAAATCTTTTCAATACTTAAACACAGTAAGTGAAAGTAATTCCACAGTGAAGAAAAGCATTTAAACTTGCATTATGAATTGCAGAGCTCAAGGTCCCCAAGTAACTGAAGCCCTAGACTTTTATTAAAAAAAAAAAAAAAAAACCAACAAAACAAAACAGAACACCAAGATATATTTGAGTACTTTTGCATTAGGAAGAACCCTCCAAATTTTTTCTCGTGGTCCAAAAGGGTTGCAATAGATTTCTGTGAATACCGGTTATCATTTACATGACGCAGTGATATATCCTCAACTTGGAAGGGTGTCACTCTAAATGCAACTATAGATACAAAATATATAGATCCATTACAGAAGTTAAACAAAGAAGTCAAAACATCATATTTGAAAAAGAAAATTTCAGTTCTGAATCAGTATTAAATTGCACTCGAAATACAGAAGTATCTCAGGAGTTTTATCACAGATGATTTATAATCATTTAGGTTGGAAAAGACCTTTAAGATCACTGAGTCCAACTGTTTAAGTTAATACTGCCAAGTCCATCACTAAATCACTTCAAAGGTCCCTTCCAAACCTCCTTACGGCTCATTGTCTCTAAGCATCCTCCTATAGAATCAACATACAAATCCACAGAAACTCGCAACAAACTGCATATCGTTTCAATTTTCCATGAAGCCTGTTTTAAAAAAACTGTATATTCTATTGAAAAACATATTAGTAAGTCTCCACTGAGTTGTAACGATTTTTAAAAGGGAACTTTGAGTCAGGTGTCACACCCAAGCGCTCTACACACACAAAGCTCTACCTTCGATCAAGAAAGGTCCCAGCTTTATAGACAGTGTACAGAAGAAAAGCTTGTTGGACTTTTTAAAGAGTTACACTTGTAAAAGGGAGGATAACAGCTGATTCCGAATGATGGGAAGTGGTGTGGTTTAATTTTGTTTCAATTCTGTTTCCCCAAGAACCTGATACTCCTCTTCATACAGTCCTGTATTTTAGGCAAGGCCTTAACTATAATAATGCCTAGAAAAGCATCTTTTAAATACACTCTAGAACTAATAATTCTGCTTGAACTCTTTTCATTTCCTTCACATTACCAGTAAAAAAAGACCAATTATGAGTCTAGGGACTTGACAATGAGCATAGGTTTTGCTTACCTGCAGCCTTGCCATTAAAGACAACTCTTAAGGCAAATTTCAGCCTTTAATCCATGCTGCAAAACTGCCACTAACTCAAGGTTTCTGAGGCATCAATTAAAAAAACTTAATCCATCATCCCAGAAAAAGGTGCCATTAATTCTTAAGGAATAAATCCCATCAGTGATGTCCTGATGCCATACCAGGACAACTGTGCTAGAGTCCTAACAAGCACGGCCTTGTGTCCATGTGGGATGGTGCCTAACCACAGCACTGTTCTGTGCCATGCAGAAAATCACGAATACAAACCAGACCAGTGAATCAGCTAAACTGAGAATCACCCTGCACATATACTTACTGTCAGCACCACTGAGATCCCAGCACACTTAACTACTAGCCTGTGCAAGAACCAGCGTAAGCCAACACGTTACAGAAAAGGGTGCTGCAGGCACAACTAAGAATACATAAATGGAGTATTTACCCGTGTTTCACAGCAAGGTTTGGAACACCAAAGCTTTTCCCCATTTTCCCACATGCTGCTACCATTTGATCTGACAGACTGCACAGCTAGGAAAAAGCTTATGAGCACTCCTTGAAATCAGAATAATATCTAGAATTCTGTATTTTCCAGTGACAAAAAAGTTTCAGCTCTTTATGGCTTAAAAAAAAAAAAAATTCAAACATTCAAAGCGTTGTTGAATTCTGAAAAAAATTGTTTCCTCTCCACCTAGGGAGCTTTCAGCATGAGTATTTTCAGCTCACACAGATACAGTTTTGTTTATAAACATTGCTTAGCTTACCTGTGATGAAGTCCTCTGAGTTTACAGCTTTCAGTCAGCATCATTGTCACCTGTACCTCTGAGGCTTGATCTAATAAAAATAAATTAAAAAAAAAGAACCATAGCTGTAACTTTGGAAACAAATCAACGTATTAATTAGAATTTGGTCCAGATTTGCAAGGCAGTTGAGGTCATTTGAACACAAACAGAACTTGTTTGCCTACTTTAAAATGGAATGTAAAAAACCCCAAACGAGTAAGCCAAGTTCTAGGGCATATTTCTGCTTAAACAAATGGGGTGAAGCTGAAAAAGGAAATAAAACACACTCCAGGTGCTGACAGACTGTACTTTTGCCACTTCCTGACAGCTTCTGGGCAGGCATGAACTGCCTGCACTAGGCAGCGTGGGTCGCATCCTGCACACGGGCCCAGTGCTGCTGGAAGGAGGGGAGCATGCTGCGAGTTTCCCAAACTCACAGAAGTGCTCAGGAGACACCAGTTTGCTGCCAAGTTAGCAGTATAGGCTTCGGCAGATTCCTTCCTCACTGATGGAAACCATTTATTTCTAGATTTACTTATTTACTGCTTTCCACTTGAAACACTTGACACTGGGTAAACTTAGAAATGTTTGCTGTTCTCTTCCCCACCTTTCAAAAAACAGAAAATCACCGCTGTCAGCTGAAATACAAGCATCTGTGATAACTCCAGTAAGCCCACAGTCATCAGAACATCCACTGGGCAGAAGAAGTGTTGCCTGGAACCCCTCCCCTACAGATATTTTTGTGTTTGGTTGTTGTTGGTTTTGTGTTTGGTGTTTTCTTTTTTTTTAAACTCCTCTGCTGGCAAGAAGCAACAGGGAAGCTTACCATGATGTAAGTCAGAGCTCTCTCGATCCCACCCTCCTCATACCTGGGTGCATTTTCTGTCCCTCCTTCGTGCTAGAACTAGCAGCGGTGTGCCTAGGCAGCAAGCTAGCACAGGAGAGAGCCCAGCAAAGGCCAATCAGTTTTGCTTGCTGCATTAGGATGAATTTACATGTTACAGATGAGCCAAATCCACATTTTACTGCCCTGGGAGAAAGAGGAGAGAATCCATCTCCTCTTATCCCTTCTTCACGGTCTTACTCTCCTCCCTGTACCAGCTCTGACACCCTCTACTAATCAAACTTTAACCCTGCGAAGGAAAACACAACTTTAGACTGAGTTAAGAGTGGTGAATGTGGTCAGTGCAGATGAGCACAAGGTAGGGAAACAAAGCACAAAACCCAGAGGGAGAGCATGGCCTCCCCCTCATGGCAACGTTACGCTACGCAGATAATAAACGTCAGGCTCTAACCAGAATACACTAATTGGCATTTAGCTTTCCAGACCTGCTGAAAGTGGAGACAGCTTTAGGCACAACACACTCCTGCCCAAGAAGGGTTCATCAAAAAGAAAAATCGCACAAGGCAAGAACCTGTGTGCCACAAAACGTTGGCTGGATTGAGAAAGTTCCCTGCAGTCAGGGTAAGGAATGATATCCCAAGGCTAACTACTTCAAAGGCTGCTTTACCAACAGTTCAGGAGAGATTAAAAAGGAGGCAAGCTTTCCCGAGCATACAGGCACGAGAAAAGAAGGAGATCAGGAAGTGGAGGTTATAAACACTGATACAAGTCCCAGCCAGAGGCACTGAACCCTGAGCATGCTTGGGAACCCCTAAGGAGCAGCACTGCCTAGGCCCTCTACACCCTGGGAGGACCAAGACCCCCAAAAAGCCAAAACACAGCGCTCCAGAGAAGTCCAGGCACAGAGGTGCCATTAGGTTAGTGACAATTACGGGGGTGGTATATTAGGGGATGCACCTAAATCAGTACCTTTCCTTGTATTTGGTAACAAGTATGTATGGGGGGAAGGCATGAACAGGTTCCTGCAGTGCAGGAGACATAAGTCACGGTCAGCTGAGGCCTCTAGTTTACATTCCAACACAGAGACATGAGAAACAGAAGGTCCTACCTGCTGTGCAGCAAGAGCACTCAAGTGTTTTCTATGTGATGAGTTTGATAACGTAGGAGACAGACTTCAAAAGGCTTGTAAACAAGCAAGAAAACCCAAGATACTACATTAAAATGAAGTTATATAGGCATGAATGGCTGAATCACCCAACTGTTATAAAGGGCAAGAAGCATTAAAATTAGAAGTGCAAAAGCATATTGTGAGATGTTAGAGGAACTGCCAGCAGGCTACTAGCACTCAGCTTCAGGTCTGAATGCATTAATTACTCAAACCCAATGACCACAACCCAGCATACGACGAAGGGAGGAAAGAGATTCCTAGGTGAGTTTAAGCTGATTAACTCGCTTATACACTCCTTGGCCCTGTGCCTGCTAAACTGGTTTGCTTTTAATTATAAGAGCCACCATGCAATAATTCGAAGCTTTAAATCACAGATTGTTTAAGACTGGCTTTAAAAAAAATTTACAGAACGGGTTAATCTGGTTCAGACAACACACCTGTTCATCTCCTCATGTTAACACCATAAGCGATGACTCTTCTGCCGATGCCTTTCCCTTTCCATCACGCAGGGTGTTTTTCTGTGGGTCACTGTTACATTTCATTGTTCTCTTTCAGCTCGGAGACACTACGCTGTAGTTGCCGAGCACCCAAAAAGGACAATTGACTCCCGTTCAAGTATATAAGGAAATCTAAATCTTATCTTGCGAAACAGTCCCAGTATCCGTATTGTGTTTTCTTATCAATATTATTTCCTTGTTTTTTGTGTAAGTTTTTTTTCCATACAACACCAAAAATTCAACATGCTCAGAACAAACAATAACAGCACAAGGCTAATACTCGTCTAAACTGGCACCACTTTAAGCTAAAACCACCATGCAGTTTTATTATTGTGGTTTTTACTAGATACAATTCAAACCAGAACATAAATCACCACTTTGAGTGATTCTAGTCAAAAGGGGGTAAAAAATACCAAAATAATGCTACTGCAACAGTCTCCATTGCCATCAGACTTCCTTTTATGGCATTTTCTTTAGTTACACACCAAAAAGTACATTTAGACAAATTGCCACATTTAGTAGATTATAACCACTTCCCAGCATCCAACAGACAGGTCTCCACAGATTATGAAGGTGATTTTGGTAATAAAAGATTTGATTGTACAAGACCTGGTGAATCTGATCATCCCGCACTGAAAACCCCTGAAAGCAATCCAGAAAATCCACAGCATTTCTGGCTTTGATAGGAGAAATACGCAGTCACAGAGCAGAGCCAGTGACAGCCATGACCCAGCAATTCCAGCTTGGTGGGACGTTTTTACGAGGACACACTGAGGTGAATCCTATAGATTTTTCTTCCCTGCCTGGGCCAAAGTCTAGTCCCGTCCTGAAACCACACATCAAATCCCCAAGCATCACACGTAAGCATGCACATGGGCATTTTATTCACAATCGTTTGTGCAGCCACACGAAAGGAGACCTGGGGAACACTCTTGTCAAACACATAAGCACACCCACAGGCTCTTTGCGGCTCCTCGTTTTCTGGACTGGATCTGTGAAGTTATTTGATATGAACACAGCCACACACGCAGCTAAAGAGGGAGGAGTGGGGGCAGGGAAGCCTCCCACAGAGCCAAGAACATCTTAAATTAGAACAGCAACTTAAAGCCATGACAGACGAGGTCATTAGTCTCCCATATATTGTCTGTGCATCAGCAAACAGCCCCGAGCTGAAGTCAAACACTCGAGGGCAAGGCAGTAAGGGCTTGTTGCGCAACTTCTTCAAAGCCCTGAACAAACCCCTAAGCTTCCCTCAGAGATATTAATGCTATTTGTCATTCAGACTAGGTCAGCGCCCAACAATTCACCCAGTTGCAGCCTGATGGTCGTGAGGTGTAGCCAGGTCAGCGCTTCTTAGCCCTGGAAGAGCATCACCTGTTTTCACAAGGCTATCACACACCAACAGCTGAGCCGAACTTCAGGTCACACGAGTTAAGAGAAAGGTTTAATACCCGGTAGTAGTTCTGGATGTGTAATTAAGACCAAAAAGGTCCAACTTTCAGAAGATGCTTAAAACCAAGATTGTCTGAGATAGGTGTAGATGCATCCCAGAACTAGGAAGATGCTTTTAAAGCACTGGTTTTACCCTTTCTCTGCCAAGAGTCTGGCTGTGAAAGTCTACCCTAAGGCATGGAGCAAGCACAAGCTAGGATTTCAGGAAGCTTTGATACAGCTGCAAGTTTATCTCATCATATGACGTTATTTGTATATAGCCAGGCACAATGGGGCTCTTGGCACTACTATTTTTATGTAAGAGGCTAATCTCTCCGCACAGTTCTGTCAAGCGTGATATGTGCTGAGGCCCTTCCTGGTTCATGGGGAAAAAGCCACACCTATTATTTGATTTTTACCAACTTCTCAAAGTCCATCTGCAAAACTGCAGTTTAAAAATCTTTGTTCACCATCGCTCAGTCACACGAATCACTAACATTCACATGACAAAAATCTCCCTCGGAAGCCTGTGATGACACTAACGTTGCAGCCGTGTGCTTGCCCCGAGACCGGGCACTCCTCACAACCGCAGAGCATCAGGCTCTACATTCACTGGGTGGCAGCATGTCAGAAAAGAGTCGCTCCACACCTCAAATTACCTCCCGGAGATGAAAAGCAGCAATTACCTGGATATTGTAGTGGGTTACCTGATCAGCTGGATGGCTTTCAAGAAAAACATTTTATGTCAGACCTCCTAGAACCTCAAAGTGCAGCATTACAACTTAAAAGACTGTAGCACAGTCACTGGAATCTATTTCTTCAGAGGGAAGACAAAGCAGAATCTTAAAAACAATAAAAGCAAAGGTTTCAAAATTGAAGTAAGTCCTTCCAGAGCCCTTTCACAGCCTAGTACAAGCAGTAACACACAGCAAGTTTTTTCAGCACTCCCATCAGAAGCAGCTCCACAAGAATTACAGCTAGGAAACCTAAGGCTTCTGATAAACACGTCTCCCGACAGTAGCATTCTAAAAAGATGTTTCACCTGAAGCTTTTCTCACCTTTGGACCACTTACTACGTCTTGCTCCCATGTGAACTTCCTTCTGTCTCACAC